CAATATTTGTCAAAAGATTAAACTTATTAAACTTAATGACAGTAAGAAGTCATAGAGGTGATTTTATTCTAAATATTCTATTCATTGCCAGTATATATTGGTCTTGGGCAAGTAATATCTTTGTATTCATCTTTCACAAATGGATGAATATTCTGGTAAAGATATTCTTGTCTTTTGTAATCCAAAGAAGGAGGTGTTAACACTAAAATGGATAAAGCTCTAATTTCTTCAAAAATATCTGCTTTCCTAGATTTCAATAAATTGAATTCAGTAAAAGATCCATTACCTTTCCCCTCACCGAATTCTACTAACACATCCTGCAACTTCATCACCTGCTCCCACCTCTCATCTTTGTCCTTCACTAGTCTTTTTTTTTTCTTCCTTCAGCTCATCTATCCATCCTTCCCACCTTTCCTTCTGCTCTTTGTTCCTGTATTTTTCATCATCCAACTTCTCTTCCAACCCCACTAATCTTTTTTGTTTTTTCTCCCCTTTTTTGAACTTCTCCAACTTCTCCGCTGCCTTCCTGTAATCTCCTCTTGCTTGATCTAATTCATCTTTGATGTCTTTATATGTTTCCATCTTTAAAATTAAAAAAGTTTTAAAAAACATATCGTTGAATGTAGTAGAATTTTTTGTTCAAAAATTCAAACAATTTTTTTTACTGATAAGCAATGCAATATGATGATCATTAATTACATTTTGTATAAAGGAGAATTTTCTTTGTAGTAATAGTCAGTAAAAAAAAATAAATCAATATTGTAATAATAAAATTATTTTCCTTCTAAGGATTTCTGCTTTTTGTTGGGTAATAGCACACTTTCATTTTGTTTTCTTTTTCTAACATTTATTATTTTTCTTCTTGGTAAATTTCATAAGTAATCCTTTCTTTTCTTAGATAAGTTTCCAGTGTCTGAGTATCATTTATTTTGAAAATATAAGGTGCAATCTTTTCCCCTTGTTCCTTTTTTAAAATACTTCTGATAGTACTGTAATTCTTTAGTTCCATAGTAGATCTGATATAAATTAATTTCATATTAACTATTTTTGTAATTCTACATATCACTTAATATTAAGAAGATAACAAATGGAAGATTTTAATAATCAAGTTACTAAATTTTGATCCCTGAAATCCTTGGTAACACTAATGTTCACTTTGTCTGGTTTTGTTGCAGCATGCCCCATATTATTACTCAAAAAAAAAAGGATTTAATAGAGAACAATCTTTATCTGAGGTCCTATAGTTTCCAGGTTTATAGAGTGCAGGACGCCTAATTCCTCCAAAAATGGAAATGAATGACTAAAAAAACAAGATGTAATTTGGAGACTAAGACCCAGTGTGTAAAATTGAGAGTGCAAAGTGTGTGTGTAACACTATTAACCAATCAAATTTTGAATTTCTGGAAATATACAACGAAATTTACTCACTGCTAAGACCTTTCTTTTCATGTAGTTGTGGAGGAATTAAGCCTCAAAGTTGCACAAGCTTAACAAATTTACTATGTTACCTCCCAAAGTGACGTTGTTACACGCAAAATTTTTGAAATTTTGTATGGTAATTTTTTATCACGTGATAACGAAAAGAAAACCATATTATTGAACAAAATTTTCCTTTTTCTAATACAATTGGTATATTAATTGTTGCATATATACTTGTATTATCTTTAATTATCTATATATACATCTGAATAAAATCCTGCACTTAACAATCTTCACAAACGTGTGACCAATAAGATTTTATTACATTTTTGATTGTAAAAACTGTCGCAGCGGCGCAGAAAGTTGTAGGAATTATATAGGTAATATTTACTATTTTAACGGATTAACCATTATAATTACCAATCCGGATGAAAAAAATCCTAATGCCCATAACGTTAATCCGTTAACAATCCGGGTCGTAACACTATTACTATGAGCGAATAAAAGTTATGGTTTTCATATTATGAACCATATTTTGTGAGATTGTTGGTTAGACATTTTGATATTATTTGATTTTATAATAACAATGTAATTATTAATAATATCTGTAATATATGCCGAAAATTTGTATACAAAGAAAACAAATTTTATATATTTAAATTGAATTCAACACTATTACTACAATGACGCTTTATAATCATGGTTGCTTTGACTTCTACAGGTAATTAGTGAATGAATGAATAAAAAAAATTTTTTTTTACAGCAACAAATGTCATTAATCGAAATTATAGTTAAAAAAATCAAGGTGGAATAATTGCTCTGCTTGACGAATCAGAAGAACAACCAAAAAGTTTACTCATTTCAAAAACTTAATTCTGTTATTGATCAATTTTGGGCAGAAATTTCAGAGGCAATGCAAGTTTAATGCTTTTATAATTAATGTAAGAAATATTTGATTGGTCGATATAATTGCGGATATAATATGTATTCAAATTAGAATGGGAACTAAAATCCATAGTTAGGATTAGATAGAATGATATGGTTGATTTAATGATTAGTATTAAAGGTTTCAATCAAAAGTCATCATCATCCCAAAAAAAAATTTCATTATGCAGTCCCACAAAAAAGTAATGGCGGTGGGATTATTATCCTAATAATATTTTATTTTATTTAACCAAATATATAAATAACAGTAGTGAATAATTTGTTAAAAGGTTATTATTAAAAATTCGAAACTAATAAAGTTTTAATATAGAGATATTTCTTTACCTTTAAAATTGTTGACAACTTTTAAAGTTTATTTTCCTAATAACTAGTGGTTGACTTTTAATAATTTTAATTTTATTGAATTCAACCTAACTAGGTGAATATTTCAACGGTTGTTTTATTATAATATGACTGATATTCGTCGAGCTATTAAAAATTAGTCATTTTTTAAAAGAATTAAAGCAGTACTTAGTAAAATTAATTATCTAAAAATTACATTCAAATTCGAAATATAATCTTTTACTTTTAAATTTTTTAAAAATAAAATTTTTTTGTATAAATTTTTTTTTATAATAAAAAAATGCCCCGTTATTACTTTTTTGGGGGACTGTATCAGTTTCATCTATTTATACTGTTAAAAAAAATTGCAGTAATGCAATTTTCATTTGAAGAATAAAGAGCTCACTACTCTCTTAATTAAATCTAGTTTTTTTTTTGGGATAAATTGACAGATAAATTTAATTAATTCATACATCAATTAATTGTTTAATGATTATTTAGGTATATTATCATCTGGGTGAATTTGGCGACTATTTAAAGTTTGCATTGGAATCTGAATATGTTGAAACAACCATTTGTAGGCTAATTTTTAAAGACATTCCCAAATTTCCCTAGCAGTAGGTCTATTTTCCGGTTTTAGATCCCAGTGTGTCTTTAGTGATTTCAGATCCTTCAACTTCTAGTAGTCCATCATTAGATGATGATTATGTAATCTATTGTAAAATGGTTTTTTTTTCGTAGTGAATTTCCGCAAAAACTATAAACATATGATTCTTTTGTATATGGTTTGCTTAATAATACTTCAGGTACCATGTATGGAAGATTAATTCATATTATCTTTTTCTTTTAATTGTTGACATGATCCTAATCTCCTATTTTACCATCACAAACAGTGTATGAAAAAATATTTACCATTGTGCAAGTCATGATGATTCATTTGTAATTGTTGTGCGTGAAAATGAAATCTATGTGAAATTCAAATTAGCCAATCAGAATTTCATGTTCAAACGCCCACCCCAAAATTTTAATTTCAGGTGGTTTCAATTAGCATAATGGAAGTTTGTCGTTACACGAAATGTTATACGAAACTCATTGCTCCTGAAACTTCACCAGTATATAGTTGTTACCTCTCTAAATTGGAGATCAAGTTCAGATCCAATTCAAATCCAGTTTATCACTTACTTTTTATTACCAGAATGTTTGCCGTGTATTGTAAAGCTACGTTGTACAATATAAAAAATGAATGTAACATTTCAAATTTCCACTGCTGTTTCAATTTCACATACAACATCATTAAAAATATAATATAAACATTTTGCTAGATATAAAATAATAAATCAAATAATAAAAATATAAAATGAAATATATAGCATAAAGTGATTCGATCTTACCTTAACCAAGTAATTTTTAATGTTTTTCTGATAAATGATTATGTTAATCTCTATTCATTCTTAATAACCCCGTAATATCAGCTAAATTTTAATCCCTGAAATTCTTGTACTATGAATTTTCAACTTTGTCTGGTTTTGTTGCAGTGGTTGCTTGCCAAAACCCCTGCAGAAATCAATCGGCAGCGTTTTGGCGGATTCACATTTGAGGGTTTCGATAATTGGCAAGGCGTACACTAATTGTTCATCGCAGTTTCAGCGATCATTAAGAGGTTTTGGCAAGCAACCTTAGTCTATATATATTGTTTCAGTATTGGAACATAACCAGATCATTTTGCTTTTTTAAGATGACCTAGGTCACATCAAAAATGACCTATGGTCACTGGTCACCAAGGTCGTGTAGTAAGTGACTGAATGAAATGGCCTTGGTGACCATTAGTCTATATGTCAAAGAATTCATTTGTGTGATCACGTGTTTTGTGTAATCACTATTCAAAGAAATAGCGGTAATGTTGTGACATACTTGACGATATTGATTCAAATCATTATTTTTTTGGTCAATATTTTATTTTCCCCCCCTTTCTATCATGTGATAACTATCAACTATGCAATAATTTAGCTTGACCCTTAATTAATTGGATAAAATTTTTTTCAAACAAAAAAAGCCAAGGAAAAATGAGAAGTCCTTAGCAGCCGGTAAAGGATGGTTGTTTTTTACGAGCCATCCTAGTTAAGAGAATTTAAATAATGGTGGTTTCAGTCATTGTCGTCATTCTAGTTATTTATAACAATGTCTTTAGATTACCTTTTTCTTGGAGCATTGTCATTATTATATTCCCTTTGGCTAAGCCTTTATGCATAATAGTAATGATAATAATGGATACCAATACAGAGTCGATTTATTTGAGTGAGTGGGATTTATTAGAGATTGACATTTAACAATTAGATATTTTACCAGGTTGAAATAATTGTCATTAAATTTTTATCAATTCACTTAATATCATTCACTTACAACAAAATGTCAATCAACATACCCAATATACCAGAAGTGTCGATAGGGATACTGTTAAAAACACTGCTTACTTTGAAGTGTACTTATTAGATTTATCTCTCTAAATTTTGTTTGTTGCAATGGTTTATTATAATTGGTTCCAAACTTCATGCTGATGCATGTAACATTGTGATGGTCAATCATGTAAAGATTATATGTATGTAATTTTATTAATAAAAAATCCCTCCATAATTACCGAATAAACATTCATTGAAATTAGCATGGGAGTAGTTTATGATCTATGTTTTAAAACTACGAGACGATTTTTTTGATTACTAAAGAGGTTTGTTTTAAAATAAATAATTAAATGAAAATGAAAAATCCCAGCACGTTAAATGATAGAGTAAGTTTCAAATTATCATTTGATGTTATTTTTATGACTGTAGCTAAAAGATTGATGAACTAGATAGATTTCGAAATTTTATTTACTTTTGCTATGTAAATTTATATATATTAATACGTCACAGCGGACAAGTCACAACGGATTTGAATAAAATTTTCTTATGTGTCCCGTTCATCCGCTGTGACAAGGTTTGGCCGTATATGTTTTCCAATCTTAAGTTATATGAAAATTATTTCCGCCCACACGAAATACTCTATACTTCGGTTAGACAATATAACGAGTTGAAATTTGGGGTAAAATTTATAACGGAAATGTACTTTCAGTTAAACAAGGCTCACTATATAGAAGCTTGGAGCCAGAAAAAAAAATTTTTTTTTAACGGAATAATGTTTTATTCTATATATAACATTCGAAAATTTTTTTTTTATCAGCCATTTTCATTGGTGTTGTTAGCCGACTAGTAGTAGCCGCAACTAAGGATTTTATGTCTAGCCGTGACTAGAAATTTTTTAAATCGACCGAGTCGCAACTGGCTTTCAGCCGCGACTATATTTCAGCTGTAAACCATTATAGCCTTAATATTAATGTAATTAGATAAATTAAAAAATTGACATTTCAGCATACATGATATAAAGAAAACAACAATTTTGTTTGATCTTGTTTGCAATTCCTTTCATATATTTGAAGTTTTCTTTTTAAGAAAATTACATTTTTTAACTGTTGATGAATAGGCTTAAACGATTTCTTTTATTAATGGTAAAGTTTCCAGCATAAAATGTGGATTTTTTACCGGATGTAGAGTGTTCAGGATTATTCTTTTACATAATTGGAGTATAATTGTGCATGATTGCACATTGAGCATAATTCATTCATTTTTTAGAATAATTTACTTTTTATGTAAAATGACGTTTTCTTATTATGCAATTGTGGGTATGTTTATAGGCTTAAAAAAACCCTTGTGCAAGGTTACGTATAAATATGTAGTATTGAAAAGCCCCAAAATTTTGTTACACGAAAAATTGGACCAAAATAAATATAATCACGAGGTTTATATTGATCTCGTGATAAAGAACTTGTTGAATCAGGGAGTTTCCTATTGTTTGCTTCAAAAAATAGAACAGTCTTTGATGGAAAAAAAAACAAAATATGGGATTATTTAATCAGGAAGCGAATTTACTTTAATCGCTGCCATTTATTTCTACCCCTGAAACCAAAAAACCATCTGATCTCGCATGAATTGAATTAATGCGAACACTGCCCAACAAAAGATATTTTACTACTAGCTTCACTTCTAATTAACTTTGGTTTTGTTGATTTTGCCAGTTTCGAAAAAATGGTTTATTATTATTATATTATTATTATTTATATTATTATTATTATTATTATTATTATTATTATTATTATTATTATTATATATATATATATATATATTAAAAAATCTGTACAATTTATTTTTTGCATGAATGAATGAATGAATGAATGATGCATGTATGTATGTATGTATAAATTAAAATGTATGCTCAAACACAATATATCAGTGTTTTATAATTTAGCTCTAGAAATAAACTCCCTTAATGGTTCTAGTCTAAATTTAACATCCCTCATTACTTTGGAAGTCGGTTCCCATTCCTCAAACAACTTTCTCAATTTATGTAAATCTCTCGAAAAACTCTCAGATCTCACCACGTCCTTATCCTCTAGTATACCGCGCATTGCCCATGGTAAATAAAATGGATTGTATTGTTTTTGAGCTCGAAAAAGGTCAAGTTTTACATTTTTGGGTGGATGTTTCACCGTTTCAAAAAGATATTTCACTGCAAGTCTATAAAAATGAAATAAACAAGTTAATTAATATATAAAAATTTTTATAAAATAATAATAATAATAATAATAATAATAATAATTTACTCACGTATAAACATTTATTTCGTCGTATAGAGCAGAATGTCCTTCAGAATAAAGAGAACCAGCGACAACTTCGCTCAAATAAACCATCAGGCCATGATCGTTTATATTGGCATTTCGTAAGCTAACAGCAAAAACTAAAAGATTTGCCAAGAAATCATTTGCTTGATATAACGGCCCATGAATATACATGGCTCGTATTATTGATGGATGGTTTACACCAGTAAATAAAGATGAATATAACTGTTTGTTTTTTATATAAAGAAAATATATTATATAATTAATTAATAAATACCGTAAATGTTACATAATTTCTAAAATAAAGAATTTATGTTGTACTTACAGGTACTACTTGATCATCCATAGAACCAACATAAACAATTTTCACGCCATCATTAATTATTAACTTCAATGAATTACGATATTTGATAGCAACACCACTATCTGGATGCATAAACTCGAACAATTCCCTAGCAGCATCTGACTCGGGACCACGACCAGCTCCAACAATATATTTCATTATATAACTTTCTTTCAAATATGGAAATGGTCCATGTGATATTCCTGCCATAGCCAACATACACACACGTTGTCTTTTAGGATTTATACGACGTTCATTGATAAGCTTGGCCAGCAAAATCGTACTAACAGGCGTACCCTGTGAATGGGTCGTCACAAATATTACATCTGCCAATGATAATGCTTCAACCCATGTCTTGTTATTTAAGAGATTTTGATGTAGGATCTCTTCTCTTTTCTCGATTGTTCCCTCACCCTCAAGCGGTATACATGTTATTGCATTTTCTGGTAGTACAATTCCATGTTGAGACAAATATCCTAACAGAGCTTTTCCCATCATGTCACAAAATTTTTGTGATGTGCCAGTTGGTTCACCGACCAATGCTCTCACCAATTTTGCAGGAAACCATCCGTGTACACCAATGATTGCTACACGTTTTACATCAATTGTTGATCTGGTCATCTCGTCCAAAAATTTTGAAAATGGTCCATCAGCGTTATTTTTCTCCAGTGGGAAAAAGTAAGAGTTTATGGTGTGGAGTGTTTGTTGAAACATTGAAGTAGGACAACTTCGAATTTTGTGTCTGGCTATATCATCAAATAGTGGGAGTACCATATTGTTAGGAACTGGTTTTAATATTGCAGTTATAGCAGAATTGGTAGTTCCAGTGACTGCAGTAGTGGAATTAGCAATTTGTGTTTGTGCTTGTACCAACTGCAATTGAGCTTGTGATTGAGATTGCTGTTGATTTGTTGTTATAGCTTTTTCATCTGTGGCTTGTTTTGTCGTCGATGACACCGTTGTTGTTGTTATTGTTGTTGTTGTTGCTGGTGATGGTGTTTGAGCTGTCACTGAACCATTTTCAATTAATCTTCTTTTATCGGTAGTTCTTATACGTGGTTGTGAAGACGATGGATTATTTTCGATTAAAGACATCTTTGTGAAGAAATGTAACCATGTTTGACTATTTTCGGGTAGCGTTTGTACTATAGGATTGGATGAATTAATTCTATTGTTTTTATTTTTATTATGATGGTTATTATTATTGCTGTTTGGTGGAGATGCTTTTTGCGAATCTTTATTTATTGAATCACCACTAGTATTATTATCATTGTTATTTACATTAGTGGATTTAATGATGGTGGTGTTAGTGGTGGTAGTGGTACTTGGTGGATCATTTGATTTTTTATCTGTGGAATTCTCTAAAGGAGTCGGCAAAGAAGACCATGTACCAAATAATGACCACCGTTTCTTTTCGATTAAATCATTGTTATAGTTTTGATTTTCTTGATCAGAGTTAACAATTTTATCTTGTTTCGTTGAAGGGTCTTTAGAATTAGTGAGTTCATTTGCTACTTTGCTGTTCTGATCTTTAGGATCTTTTGGTGGATGTTGTTTTTGTTGTTGGTTTTTTTGATTATTGCCCTTAACATTATTATTATTATTATTAACATTAACGTTATTATAATCATCATTAGTATTAATATTGATATTTTTGTTTTCCTTTTTGTTTTCCTTTATTATTATTTTTTCTGGTTCTAATGTTAATCTATTTATTATTAAACCACCGGTTTCCTCAGGTGCTTGATTATTACTACTAGTGCTGTTATTAAAAAACCACCAATATGAATTTCTATTATTATTATTAACAGTATTATTATTAACAGTATTATTATTATCAGTATTATTATTAACAGTATTATTATTAACAGTATTATTATTATTTGATGAAAGCAGTGGTGATGGTGAAAACGACGAAGTGACAGGTGATAAAGTGTTAGAAGAGGAGACGGAGGATGATAGTTTTGTTTCAGACATTGATTTATTCTTGTATAATTTATTCAACTCTGATTCACCCCTTCCTAGAACCACGGTTGAATTTTTATTTAGTCCTAAATTCTTTCTATTACTATTATTATTATGGATGTGATGATTGTTGTTATATTCACGAGAGATTGTTCTTGACATTCCAATTGAACTTTGTTTATTCTCGCTATTATTATTTTTGTTATTATTATTATTATTACTAGACGTAACGGTATTAGTATTGTTATTGTTATTTACATTAACACTAGATGAATTAGAATGAGACCACCAACTTTTAAATGAAGAGACGGATTTATTCTTTTGTTCATCGTAAATTTTACCAGAATTATAATTATTATTATTGCTAACAGTGACACTACTACTGTTACTACTGACAGCACTGCTGCTGCTGCTGCTGCTAATACCCATATTACTATTGTTGTTACTAATATTATTGCTTTGAACTTGAGGAATTGGAATTGCAATAGAAGCTGTAGTATTGTTATATGTTACTAAATTGTCATTATTGTTGTTGTTGCTATTGGTATTGTGATTTTCGGTTTCTGCTACATTTGGTATTGCAATTGCTGGTGTTGCAGTATTAGGTAAGTTGTCTTCTTCTTGTTGACCAAAATAATAAAAATTTAACCAAGAATTGCGATTGGACATTTTATTCAAGTTCGCAAACAGTTTTAAAAAAATTAGTCGTTGCTTAATTTTTATTATTATTGATTTTTGGACAACTTTATTGTAGGGGATTGTAAAGTGTATGATATTTGCTACTATTATTATTAATATTAATAATACTAATAATATATAATGTTTGTTATTATTGTTATTGATTTATTTGGTAAAAATGATTGATTAGATCAAGGAAAATTTTTTTTTTATTCAAAAAGAAAAATTTTGTTCGTCGTCGTTGTTTTATTGTTTTAAAAACGATATATTTTTTATTAATCGTAGTAGTCGGCAGAGTATGTGTGTGTTTATAAATAAATAATATTTGTTAGTATCATCTGTATTAAAATGAGTCAAAATGAAAAATTATTGTTTTTTTTTTTGTTGGGGGGGTTAATATATATATTTTTTTGTTTACACTTTTTTTCTATTATATGATTATATATGTACTGTATATAGAATGTAATAAAACGTTAGATTTTTTACAGTTTTTTAATTACATCTTTTTTGGGGGAGGTTTTATATTTTTGGGGGGATTTTACAGTTTTCCAATATAAATATTAATGTAAAATAAAAAAATGTGAGAGTCATATGCGTCTATTGTATCAATTGTTGTCTTTATGTTATTATTTGTTGCTGATTATTTACAGTAATTAATTAATTTATATTTATTTTTGTTTATTTATTTATTATTTATTTATTATTATTATATATACAAATTTTAAATAAACTCCGATTTTATTACTCGCAGAAAATTCATTGCTTGTTTAATAAAGCCTCGTTCATTCATTGTTATCATTATTAACGGAATGATTTCTGTACAGAGAAATGTTTTAAAGAACATATTCACTATATGCAATCTTTTTTTATTGATGTAATGAAAATTAAGGTTTATTTCCTACATAATTAATTCACACGAATAATAAACTAAATTTATTAATAATGTGAATGTCTATTCTTCCAAAAATACTCATTAAACCAATTACGTTCATGTGGCTCCACATATTTTATTCCCAAAACATCAAATATTTCTTGTTCACTGTTCACTAATATTGATTTTTGAATTAATCCTTGCCCCCCTTGTAATTTACCATTGTTATCTTTTGATTCAATAGCAAAAAATTTATTAGAGCTCAAATAGAATCCTTTCTCCGATGCTTTGTCTCTCAAACTTCGACAAAATGATTTATTGCCAGTATGCGCTAATACTTTCAACCAAAATTCATCATATGGGACAACCCTATTAATATTAATTATATTATATTATATCTTATATTATATTATATTTATAATTTTCGAATTCTTTTTTAAATAAAAATTTAAATTTTACCGAAGTAAAATCTTTCGATTGTTATTTGTTCCAGGTAGACAAGCTGCCTATAAAATTCACTTGCATAAAAAATATTTTTTGTAAATAATGAAAGAATATAACACGCACATGGAATTACATAAAATATACTCACCAAATAATTTAAATTTAAAATTGAAGGAATCTTAATAAAATCGACACATATTTGTTTATTTTTCAATCTCTCGATCAATTCTTTAGTTATTTGACTTCCTATTAAATTTTTATTCTCTATATGGTTACGAGTTGTGTCAAATTCCACATGTGAAATTACCATTTCAAATTGCCTTGAATTTTCCAAATTCCTAGCGTTACGTCGACTATCATATATGAAATATATATATCTGTTATAAATCTTTACGATTAATACTAATACTAATAATACTAGCAATGCTATTGTTAATTAAATGTTATTAACCGATACATACTACTCAGCACACGGTTCTGCAATATATCCAGAATCCATTGACTTCAACTCTGAAACAATTATTTCCTATATTAAAATTAATTGTTAATCGATTATTAATTAATTCATATATAATAATATATGTGCAACCATTAATTAAATATTCACCTTGAATAAATCCATTTCTTCCTTAGGAAATAAACGATCAAAGTCATATGCATGTTTCATTAGAAATTTATGGGACGGTGATAGCTTTTCATTGATAATTATATCTTCAAATGATTTATATCCTTTGTCTTGATATTTCTGACTACGTATGGGTTGTAAAGGTTAGGAATAGTTGTTTAGGTGAGATATTAGAATAATTACACAATATTATTATCACCAATAACAACACACCACCACGATAATATTAGTAATTAAATTTATACCCTATTTCTCCCATTCTTTTTAAAGCATTTATAAATCTTGATCTATTTTCTTTACTGTCAACTGCTCCCACACCATGACTAAATTCTGTTCTTTTACCCTTATTATATATATGAGTGTTGATATGTTAGTATTAGTATTGGAATTTAGAAAGATTTTAATTATTGTTATATAGAATGATGATTAAAATCAAACCATTTCCTTGTACATATAATCACCAAGAATAACCGTTTCAGGGTGTTTAATAATCTCATTTATAACAAAATCAAAATGCACCTTCTCATGAAAAGGCTTTCCTTTTGAAAGTTCTACATTAATTGTTATTATTATTATTATTATTATTATTATTATTGATCATTATTATTCTGTAAAAACAAAACCATTCAATCATAAATACTGTGTAGTAATTCCTTTCAAACCTTTTATAACATTTGCAAGATCTTCATTTGGACTTGCTATTGAATTATTTCTAGCTGAAGATTTTTTGGTAATTATGTCTTCCTTATTATAATTATAATTATCATTATTATTATTATTATCATCGCCATTATCATGATTATTATCATGATTATTACAATTATTGTTATTATATTTATCGTTGTAATCCCTATCAATATAATTATTATCACTATTGTAATTGTTGTTTCGATCAACTCTTTCCAAATCTTCAAATCTATTATTACTATTTTTATTAAAAGAGTAATTATTATTCTTTCGATTTCTTGATTTGTACGGAGGCTTCGAAACCAGCAAATCTATATTAAATTTCCTTGCTTCAACTTCAACTTTTATTGTTTCATCATGCAATTCAACATTATTATTATTATAATCTTTATCATTATCATCAACATTGTTATAATCACTATTATCAGTAGTAGATTCAGTTGTCTTGGAAGTAGTCACGGTGGTGGTAGTGATGAATTTATTAGGTGTATAAATTTGAAACTTTTGTTTACAACATATGGACGATAAAACGATTATTAGTGACTTTCTTCTAATAGCAATAAAATTGTTGTTGTTGTTGTTGAGTGCATTTTGAAAAAATAATTTTGGTAAATAAATATTTTTCATATTTAAATTTTTTATTTACTAATTTTTTTTTTAGAAAAAAAGTTAGTGACGCGTTAAACAATGGAATTTAGTAAATTATTATTGTACTACCAATATAATGTGATATAGACAGATAATATGAAATTGATTTATATCTGGCATCAGAAGTATACAGATATATTTGAAGATTATCCAAGGAATGAGAACACCTATGAAGTCTACATAACCAATAAAATACATTAACACAAAACCTATAAAGTGGGAGGAGAAATAATTTACTGCCTAACTTAGGCTCGATATTATCAAGTATTATAAATAATATAGACGAGCGTGTGTATATTATCTTTTAAAGTTAAAGATAGATTTAATAAAAAAGAATTGGCGTGATTTTTTATTTCAATTATTTTCTTTTGTTCCTTTTTTAGTTTTCAATAGATCAAATTCATAAAAAAGACCCATTTAGCAACTTCTTGAGCTTTCACCGCACCAGGATTAGAGGCTGTAGAATACTTTTTAACTTTTTAAAATATACCTTTAAACCAAACCAGATTTAATAACAAAATATTGAAAATCTTTTCCAGCATCATAACATTGGGTTTTATTCAATCCTGGAACGCTGGATCTTTTCGCAACATCTACAACATGATATACACAACCTACAGTTGTTTTTTAATCGATCTAAAGCTTGCCATCGCATTTAAGTATCTAGCATTGAAGCAGGTTTGATGATGCTTATGAATATTTATTTATAGATTTACTTTGTGTGTATTATACATATATTTATCAAATATCGAATCACATTTCTAAAATGTCAATAACAAAAGATCTAATAATCAGCCACGAGATATTATATATATCTTGTCAAGTATGGTAATATGTTATGCAGATTTCATAGATCTTTTTTTTTTGAAAATCTATTTTTTTTCCCATGCCTCTATTGAAGATCACACACATGTCATTTGTAATCGAACGATAATCATTGTAGCAAAAAAATAACGTACGATGATAATAAGGTTAAAATTTTGACTTATTAAATTGAACATTTGTAAAAATACAATCAATCGTGAAAGATGATAGTGGTAAACAAACAAACCTGAACCAATGATCACTAGTAGTGTTCAAAGTAACTGGTGAGGAAAAAAGGGGTATAATGTGTATGGGAAAATGGCGTGGACCTAAAAATCCGGTGGCGTGAAATTTTAGGGTGTATGCACCATTCAAATATTTTGATTTAACAACGTGTTTAGCTCATTCAGCGCATTTGTCGAGTTGTGTAACCAATTACTTAAACAATAGGTAGATCAGTTACGTATGTTGCTTATTCATAAGGAATCCAATAATCCAATAATTATTAATATGAAAGATTCGTGCTTGTTATCTATAATAATAATAATAAAGACATCACCATGCTGCGCCACCGGAGAAAACATGACGGATTTTGATTTACTAAAAAATAGATTATTCTCTATCTTTTATTAATTTCTCTCTATTATTACTACGCACCATAATGAAAGTATTCATTATAGAGGACGAATATTTTTATATTAAAAAAAACCAATAAATATTATTTCAATATAAAAAAATATATGTTTATAAAGGATTACAAATATTGTATTACTATTTTTAATGTTACTAAAAATATTATTTTAATAACATTACAAGTATAGAAAGATGGATGGAAATTCGATAAAGTAAGCAACTCAATATAATAATAATAATAATAAATGAAGTTTGTTTACCGAGTGTTTATGGGCAAAGCCCATCATTAATAACAAACAACGCTGGATGCCCTTGATGGTAGCACAGGCGATAGAAATCAATAATATTTCAAATAAAAAAAATGAAAATATTATTTTACCTTTAGAAAATAATGCTTGACAACTAGTACTAGTGATGTCATCCGGTAGAAAAACTTAGCCGGTAAGAACTTTTTTATCAAAAATAATTTTAACATACTTTTATGAATTCACCAAAAATCGGGTGTTTTTATTATTTTTACAAGTCTATTTCTTTTTATTGTAAATAAACCCCAGTTGATGAATCTACTTCTCAGATGGTACTAAGCTTGCCGGTATTATTATTATTACTACTACTAATATCGTTATTATTAATTTTTGTAATAAACCTTTTACTTTACTATCAGAGATCATCTGTCTCATGAAGCAAGTGCCTAAACATACAGAAAGCTTTAACAGGCTCAAAAAAAAAGAGAAACTGCCAATGCAATTAATTAATTTCAATAGCTTAGGAAACTCCCATAATTTTTTCGTTGCGTCATATCCTGAGAGAAGAGTCAGATTAACCTTTATTTATTTAGCAAAGTAAATATAAACTTTAATATGTGTACAAATCTGAAGTTTTTTCATGCTATAAACTAATTATGTAACGTCAATCTACTTTCTATTCTGTAACTAATTCCACTTTCAAATTCTACAAGTTATTACCAACACACACTTCAAAATACCATCACAACTGACCATCAATTGAATATTCATTCGTTTTACTATTATATCCAGTATCTGGACAATCATTTCATTGTTAACAAAAATTTTAGGTGAATAATCAAAAAATATTCAGATATTCAATGATCAAGTTTTGTTCTTTTTGAGGTCGTAGTATTTCCAGCTTGGTTAATAATCTCTCACTTGGAGTGGACGTTGCAGATGCACACATGTATTTAATGGCTAACTTTGACAAAACGGGGAATCTATTTTTATTATGTTCCCACCATAAGCCCTGTAAAAAAACCTGAACCATGATTTAAAATCCACGTTTTCTCCGGAAACGTATCATAATCATGGAAAAATCATGGAAAAATTACAGGGGAAATGACGGACTTTGCCAACTGGTGGAATCAAAATTCAAATAACGGATTATTTTTTTATAGGGAAGAATGGATCATCTTTCCATATTCAACTTAACTTATCCTTTCTTCAAAATGTGAGCAGAAGAAGACTCCTCTCCTCCATTATTGTATTATTGCTTTCTTCTATTCTAGTTACTGAAGGTTCTTCTTGCATTTTAAATGAATGGAGATGAAATGATTGATTTAATTAATTAGAAATGAACAGGCAAATTGAACGAGAATTTATTTGGACGTGGGTGAATTTCATTTATGTACACGAGATATTGATTGTCAGTTATTCATTCATTTTAATTTATTATTTATATTAAGTCAATCAATCAATGAAAAATCAAAAATCCCAATTAATAATATTAACCAAATATTCACCGAATATTCAATGAATTTTATTTCATTCTTGCATAGAGCACGCTAACCCAATTCGGAAATATATGCAAAATTGGTCAGAATTTGTCTAATTATGGTGTGAAATTTTTTTTTCATAGAGGTTCCGTATTCCGTACATCTGCGCCTCTGTAGTAAATAATGCTCTGTATGGAACAAAAATATGGAATCGAAGTTCGTACAGACTGCCCCCACCAATCAACTTTTCAGAATTCACAAATTCCGTTCCGTTCAGAATTAAAAAATAAAAATAAAAAATGTACGGAGCAAAAAAAAAAATAGTGTACGGTATTGAAAGTTGTACGGAATCTCTACTGACTGTTTTCATGTGCATGTCACGTATCTAGTCATGTTATACGGGAACGATTGCAATTTGCTCGTTGTCAATCGCAAACCTGCCTCAAATTTTTTTTACCAAGAGAAGGTTCTTTATATAGTTAAGAACAAGGTTGGGTGACGGAATGTCTCTTTTTTCGTCACACGATGAAAATAAATAGGATTTCTACAACTTTAAGTAATTTTAGGAAAATGATGAAATGACGAAGTGAATTATTTTAAATTACTTAAATTTTTGGTTCAAGGAGTAAATTAAAAAATAAAAATCATGATGTCAAATTCTAATTCACCAATTCCTTCTCAATAGTCATTATATAATATGGATTTACAACATTAAATTTAGATAATATATCTGAAAATTCATTTAACAGTAATCAAGAATTAGCTCAAAGATGTAAATAAATATATTAAAAATTGTTTTTTGTAAATGATGATTAGAACAATAAACAACAACAATAATGATTATAGTGTGTTATTAAATATAAGTTAAAATAAAAGAGAAATTTATATAAATTATTGAATGATTGATAAAACCTTCGTTAGTATATTTTGTTCATAGATCTTG